GATTTTAATAGTAGAGACTGAGTTCGGGATTGACTGAATGAGAGATCGCTTGATTTAAAAAAGTGAAGGAATTCATACTATGCCCACCCGGAAGGAGCCTCCAGGTGTTGATAACACAAAATTAATAAACGTATTAGGGGTTTACATTGAATTCACCGTTTTCGAATATTGGCCACTTTGAATTTGAATACTCGACGACTTCGAAATTCAAGTAATAAATGCAGAAACTGCGTAAACGGAATACAATATAATGTTTTATTGAACATTACTTTCGCCCTAAAAAAGGTTTTCAGTCACTCTCAAAGTCGCGCCTTAGGAAGTTTTACTTGAAAAACTTTCAATTCGTCCCCAACATTAATGTCCCTCACAATAGCCCTCCGCTTAGTCAAACACATCTCGGAGGGCTTCGAAACAAAACAAAAAAGCTGTGGCCGACTTTTTCAATGTTACCGAATCCATCGGATAGGACATGGGAAGCAATACTAATACTTAAACTTATTATTGAAAAATACCAGATCGTTTTGTACTCACAATACACGGTTAATAAATAATAGTTATTTCATCTTCCGCTAAGAGGATACACGCTCGTTAAATAGATCCACAAGAGGTAGGGCGTTTCAAGGCTCTGTCAATGAATGAAACGTTTGAGGAATGGGTGTCCCTTAGTCATTAAAACCTACAAGGGTTCTTCAGGTGCGACTCCTGAGCCTACCGGCGTTGCTCCCAAAACCCCGAGCCCGTGTCGACGGTCTCTCGTTATCTCTCCGCGAACCTCTTCATGGAACATCCGTAGAATAGTCGCGTGCTGATTATATACACATTGCGGTTAGCCACTTTCAATGAAGCTATAAAAGCCTTCCGGTTGACAGCAGCGATTTTATAGTGGTTTGAGGTTTTATGAGGTGTTACAACGTGGCATTTTTATGCCCTACAATATTCAAAAGTACAATATTTTGTCTCGTACAATATAAAAAGATCTCGAAAATATCACAAATTCATTGACAATGTTTTAATAATATAGTCTTGACTTAATGTTATGTATGACTTACCAGTCATACATAACATGTCGAAGAGAATGTAACTAGTACGTACCATACCTTAGACCTAATAGTGTTAACTACAAACATTATATTCACCATTAGAAATCGATATATCGGTAATTATCGGAATAATTGATTGAGTTAAGTAATTAAATTCAGGAAACAAATGGGGAATGTTTGTTACAAGCTGCTAATATCAATTGTTTAACACAAATAGAAAAAAAAACCTATTCGACTATATTATGTTTCATATCATTACATGAATAATAATATTTAAATTATTTTTTTTTTGTAAAAGATTATTGTCAATCGTTTTTTGTTTTAATTTTCAAATGAATCAGGCGACTAAAATGACTCAATCGATACCCCTCTACTGAAATCAACATAGCCACGACGTTGTGTCGTACAAACATAAAACATACATGTACCCATGCTATTAACATATAACCGCTCAGTACACAACAGTCGGCTAAATATAGGCACGGTCTACTGGAAAATTCATATCGAACGGATCAGGCTAGACGGACATTCTGACAGTTCTAAGAGAATTTCTCACTGTGAAACATCATTCGTAAAAATAAACGAACGAACGAACACGATCGGCCGCGCACGGCCCGCGGGTTTTCGAAACGAACGAAAGAATCAACCAAATCAGCCTCAGCTCCGCGACCGACTGCGGACAGCCGCCGATCTGTCGCACGAAAGAGCATAATGTGGCTTCTCGATTCGTGCATATAAAAACTAACGACGAACGGCTCGACCGTATACGATTGCGATGCCGGACGTAGTGCTGCCGGTCGTTGTCGTTCGATAAATTCACAATGGACGCCACGGAATAGTAAAAGGCAGCATCTGTATGCGGAGCACGAGGTCGTTAAGAGCCATCGCAGCCGACGCACCATAGCACAAGGCACACGAGGGTTTAAATTAGCTTACCGCCGCGCGCCGCGCCGCCTAACAGATTGCTCGCATGCGAAGCAGGTACCTGCGCCGCGCCGCCGCCACTCGTCGGACCCCCGAGTCGATGCCGCGGGCGCGGCCGGCGCGCGTACGACAGAACCGACTCTGAACTTTATTACTTTGAACGAGTACGAGTACGGTACGCATGGCTCGTGTTGGTCGAGGGTCGTTGACGAATTGCATTAGTTTTTGAAGTGAAAACTTCTGTGACTACGTAAAACAGGTATGGACAACCTTTGACATGTTGCGGGCCAAACTTTAGGGTGCAAATACGATAGCGGGCCGCGTTCAAAAGTAGGTGCATTTTAAAGTAGTATTCATGATATTCAGCGATAGATATCAGACATGATTTTTTTCAAAATGTCTCGCGGGCGGAGCAAATCTTACAGCGGGCCGGATGCGGCCCGAGGGCCGGCTGTTGCCCACATATGTCGTAAAGCAATTTTTGCGTGGGTAAAATCTCATGTGCCCGCGTCGCTATGTCACGACATGTTAACGCACTATATTTAAAATTTAATTCCATTGCAGCGTTATTGTTGGTTGGTCTAAATCAAAGAAGTTTAATTTTCAATTCAAATCTGGGTATATTGACTTTTATTTCAAATTCACTGGATTCGCGCAGTGCAATATATGTTTTCATTAATAAATAAACATAAATTGTGTAAATTAACCATATAATAATGTACATAATTGATGGTGGAGTGCTGATAGATATGAAAACCAGATTAATGTTAATGATTTTAATTTACAATTCATAACATTTTAATTTTTATACTAAGTACAATTAAATTGGAGTTCTCACAAAAAAAAAAAAGCCTAATATTGTCATTTCATAAATTCAATATCAAGTGTTCAATAATTTTAACTTTTTCATTTTTGTATTTGTATTTTAAAAATTTTCAGGTCAACACTATAACAAATGGATCAAAAATTTCGGCCGAGATGCAAACATTTAGATTACCGCTTAACTAAGTATTACGAAATTTAGATAAATAAAACTTCACAAAATGCAAATAAAGTTCATTAGTCAACATTACTTTCTAACAGTTTTTTTCATGTTCTATTCAACTGAGAGTGATCCGATATATATATTTTTCATATCAATCAATGACGCTATTATAATTAAATCTACCCATACATTCCAAATATATAATAACTAACACAGTATGATAAAATTGCATCCAGTTTTTTTACATTTTGTTTTCAATCTATTTAATCACGAAAGAATGCATGCTGCTTCCTTAACTATAACACACCACCCGACTACATAAATAAACATAACAGATACAGATATCATGCGGCAACGTGATCACCAAACGAACAAGCAGATGTTTTCGATGCGATAATCTTATCCCGTTTCGCCGACGCTGAAGTCGGCGCGGCCGCGTTTTAGTCGTTTTAGCGTTCCCGACATTACAGTTGCATGATAACGCTTAAAAAGCTTTCAGAGCCGCCCTGGGGGAATCCATTAAAAATAATTGTATAAAAGCGTTAAATCTCCGTCTCCCGATGGCGATGCTTCATGCCGAAGATAGGTGAGTACCTACGTTTGCGTGCATTTACGGACTGAGCGAGAATGAAACGTGCTTGACGTAGCCTAATGATAATTAAGTAATCACATCATAAATACCAGTAGGGTGGGCGTTCCTGTATCGATGACATTGCCGTTACTCACCTGAAAACAAAGAGACGTCGATAAATGATGAGTCGAACCAGTCGCCTTGCAATAACTTATGTAGACAATTATGTTTTATAATAAGGGTTCGTCCACATATTACGTCACACCTATTTTTACGATTATTTAAACCCCCATCCCACTCCACCTCGTCACACTTCGTCACATGCACATCAACCCCACTACAAATATTATGCTACATTATACAATTACTACTAAAAATTCATAGTTTTTTTAAATAGTTTATTATTTAATTTATTGCCACAATTATTATTTTAAACCATACTTATAATAATACACATTAATTAAATATCAAGCATTACTAATCTCGCGTCGATAAATATACAATAAAAAAAATTTTTTTTGAATTTATGACTTTTTATGACTTTGAAGTGTAATTTAGTAACGTTCTGTTCAGATCTCTATGATGATTTTTCAGAGCACTTTCCGTAGCACATGCGATAAAGTATACACAAAGGTGCCACATCTCCTGAAAGGCCGATGGATAGAGCTGCCCTGATATGTCGCCGACGAATTGGAGACGATCGACGTTGGATGCGGTCTAGAGGCAGGAGTTGCTACTGGAGCTCATTCAGCGCGGAGGTGACAATAGTACTCCTGATGCGGTCGGATCTGTGTCTCCAAAGTGAAAAAGCGATGGTTCCACTTAAAGAAGTGTCGTGTTTCACTAAACCCTCCAAGCTTTTTAGAAGCTAATTTTCCTTTGTTCTCCAGATCGTAAAATTGAACACTTTTCGATAGGTCTACGCCCGAATCCCGATATTCAATGTGATAAGTACAGAGACAAAAATCTTCCGAAGAAGAGAGAAATAACAAAGAGAGATTTTTTAACGGTAAACGCGCAAGGTTGTGTTTTAATGGATTTAGATTGGGCAATGTTAAGTCTACCCTAAACCGAAACTGGCTTTAAGGATACCTTGCCTTGTGGCATCCAGACATCGTGACGAGTTCGTAGGAGTTTCATGATCATAGGAAACTGCCTCAAAAAATCTGCGAAACATTTCTTGCTGCCGACATTTTGTTAACGAATCATTATTGGTCGAACTCGATGAATGTTGTGATATCGGAAAATTATTGGAGATGTTTGTGTGTTCTGCTTCATCGTAAATAATATCCTTTCATTGTTTTATATAAAATCTTATTTTTTAATTTTTGGTGTTTACACTTTAAGAATCCATTTTCATATAAGACCTCCGTAATGAAAATCTTATGGGCGCTCCAATTGGTACAAGCGTTAACCCCAAAGCGCTACCTTTTTTGTCCTTATTCACAATAGTGATTGATTTTCTAGACCTATTTTAAAGTTCTCAGTAGTATAGTGGTCAGCACCTCCGCGTTTCACGCGGGAGACTGGGGTTCGATTCCCCGCCGGGGAGGCTACCTTTTTTTTAATTTATTTACATTTATTAATAATTAAAAATAATAATAAATGTTATAAATAATAATAAAAAAAAAATACATACACGCTTTCAGTGCTATAAAAGATGCGTTATTTACCCTCTGCCTATTGCATATTCAAAAACAATCGTACTTCAGGAGTAAACTCCAGTTATGCGTCAGAGCCGACATACACACGCTTTCTTGTTTATGACAGTAATGACGTGTGCCAAGTGCTTGTAAATCAATGACGTGGTTGAAAAAGTTTAAATGCGGATGATAAAAACATACGGTAGGTACCTGTGTACCAATTATCAATGTTAATTTGCCATTCTAATCAATAAATTCAGTATATCTCAGGAACGAGTGTTTAGTTTCCTGTGTATTTGAACACATCATTTATTTCTTCTCACTGAATAGACTATAGTCCTCTTTGTATAAGGAGCACTATTATTAGTCACGAGCCTGAAAAAATCAACCTGCAGAATATAACATGTCTTTTGACTATTTAGCGAGGAAAATAAGAAAGTTCGTAGCTTTATCTGAAAGATAAGTTAAAATGTAAAACGTCATAAGCGTTGTGCTTTGATTTAATAGATTCTATAAAAAAAATTATACTTATGCCTTACGTATTTTACACAAAACGCGATACACAAAAAACTGCTACAATTCTTTATCAATGAAATTTATTATCGCTAGTCTTATTTCCAAATGTATATTTTTATTCTCGTATATGCCATAACTTTTTACGGTTGCGAACTAAAATGGAAAAAACGGAACCCTTACAGTTTCATCATATCCGTCCGTCCGTCCGTATGTTACAGGCATTATATTCAAAAACTACAAGACGTATATTGATGAAATTTATAGAGTAGGTATCTTTAATGAGCCCCTACTTAGTTCGGTAGTTAAATACCAAAAATAAATATTTCTAGAGGGGCACTCTATACAAATTCGCAGAAAATGATTCCTCCCCCTCTATTTTCTTAATCATATGCTCAAAAAATAAGAAAAAAATGACGGAGACAACGCTTAATAAATACTTTCAATGACAATTATTTTGAATATGGTCGGATATACTATTTTCAAGTTATTACAGAAAAAACTGCGTTTCTCAATAACAGCACTTACAAGCCATGAAGATACGCTTTTTTGCTGATGCCCTTTAGTTTACACTAGTTTAATAGTAATAGTCGAGATTCCTACTTGTGTTTCTAGTTATAGGAGACTAAAATGCTTATAACTATTCTGTGCGGGAAACACGGAAAAAGTGTAACAACGTAGTTTTATCATCTGTAGTGCATTTCTTTGTAATAATGCCTTCGGAACCTTATAACAAGCACGGTTCCATATGCTCTTGGCTATTTTTTTCTTATTATGAATCATCATTAAATAAAAAAAAAATAACAACGCTTTTTAGTTATGTTATGATATCTACCAGTCAATTTCTACATTATGCCGCGTTTAAGAAAATCGTTTCAATAAAGTAGTAACAGTAAAACTTCATTGAAAAAATACATAACTCCGTTAAAAATATTTCTCAGCTTCAAAATTAATATATATATATATATATATATATATATATATATATATATATATATTTATATATTATGTATTAAGTGTGTATATTACATTACAGTATTACGTTCTGCCAATTTAAATGATTGTAGAACAGAAACACGTTCCCGCCGGGTGTTGCGTTACCGTGTTAAATGTAGACCCGCTGGTGATCTAGCGTCATTAAATATTTCAACGTATCATTGCCCGCGGTCGAAGTGATTCAACAATGTTTCCGTACGGGCTCACGCACACAGCCCCGCCCGCGCGCCCGCGCCCGCACCCGCACCCGCGCCGGCACTCGCGCCCGCGCCCACCGGTCGAACGCCGCTTGGCAATGCGCCAAATATTTTCCATAGCCGAGCTCTGTGCGCAATGACTAGCCCCTCTCAGCTCAATAGGAATAAAATTCGACTGGCAGCGGTCTGAATAAACTACTAGTTTTTAATCGCTGACAAACTTTTATTCAATTAAATATGGCACCAGGATATCATTTTTTTGTACTAAAATAATCTTTAGTGCCATAAATGTGACATACAAAAACGATTCCTTAAAAAAAAACGCCTTTTTTTTAAAAGTGGTTAAAATCGACTACGTTATATACAGAATTCAGACATCGTTGTCCCTCTCAATATTGATAGTTAATAAAATTTTAGTATATCAAACTCTTAAAGTATATTTTCATTCATAGAATTTATGTTTCAGTATAAAGAGCTCTAATATAATAGGAATAAATCGAAATGGACTCCCACTCAATGATTTTTTAATTCACGTTAAGTCACATTAATCCCTACTTTGTCACATTTTGTCACGCTATGCAACGTGCCCCCTTCGCATCAGTATAAACACTTTACGTATATGGCCTCAATTCTATTTCCAGCCCTAGCACTCGGCATGACCGAGATCGGCGCATACTTCCGCTTCACTACCATTTAACTTCGCTCATTAATTCTCGCTTAAATCCCAGCAGTCGGCGTTCGCCTTCGAGATATTGACGTAAGATTGATGGACAATTTGTAGCCTGTTTACAAACAGCGATGACGACGGCGCAACCGGCGCAGCTACAATGAGTACGTGGCGATATTCGAATCATTATATATCTGTAGTGTATGCGGCGGACGACGACCGTCGAGCGTCCGCTAAACGCTACGCAAACACGAAAGTGTCAACGAGGCAGACGCGTTTACTTGTAATTAACTACATTCGCCGAATCCTGTTTGTACTATGAATGTGGATCATTCCATGGCATATATTTTCGATACCTTATCGATATTTTATCGAGTTGGCCAATAGTTTTCGTAAAATGCTAATAAAAGATAGAGCTATGAAATACTAAAACAGATGTAAAAGTTAGAAGATGAGCACTTTCCGCTAAATGTTTAAGCAAATAAATCTTACGTCACTCGACGCACCGGCGGATGCTGAAACACTTAGTACAATTTTTCACTCGTGTTACGGAAAACGGAATAAAGCATATAAGTGGACGGAACAAATTGTTGTGAGGCAGGAAGGGCATCAATCCAGACGTGAAACAGGGACAGAAAGCTTTTAGGGCGGCGGCAGAGGGAGCTCTTCCCTCCGAGTGTCTCGGAAGAGGATATTCGATTACTTAGGCATTTGTTGTTACATCATTTCATAAAGCTTAGCTTAATTTTATGAAACGTGACCCGTTTCCCTAATGTAAGTTACGTCGATTGAATAGCCGATGATTGTAAATTTGTTAGCGTATTGATGGGCGAGCGTCAAATGAAATATTTCAACATTCATGAATGACTATTATATATTTTCTATTATCAGAGAGGTGCACTTAACTGCGCGGGGAACTCGTACGGAGTTGAAACACTGACTAAACATATTCCTGTAAGTGACGAATCATTACGTTTATGTACTGAACTCCGATGAAGGAACAAAGAGACCTTGTCATAAGGTGTAAATATATTTATATTTTGTTGTAGTCCAATATGCCTGCCTGCTGTAGAAAAATTTTTGCGTATGTAAAGCAACGCTAAAATGAGATCCTCAAAACGGTATCATTCTATATTCTGTTCGCTCTATAAACTAATGTCATACAAACGATTAATATATATTACTTGCACAAACATACCTATTATATATTGGCATAAATTAATTTTTTTTTTTGGAAAAATATAGTAAATGCAAAAGGCGTAGTTAAAAATTCATCGTATATAAATAGAGAATACATATTATACCTAATGGAAATTTCAAACCCGACCGCTGAATATAAATGTAATATTTTGTTGAGAATCTAAATAAGCATAATTTTTACAACACATAAAACAATAAGTGGAATTATTAAAATACTCCCTTGTCAATATCAAATATGACACAATCGAACTATCTGAAGTGACAAATGTAAACGACATTATCTAAGATGAAAACTATATAGTCTGTTTCACGGGAAAAAAGAAAAGGACAACATGGCATTAGATTCCGAAAGAGGAATCTAAAATAATATCGAAAATTATTCCGGATTATCAGAACGTCTGTTTATAATTTGAAAAACTAAACTGTC